CATCGTGGACATTGGCCTTAATAGATGGTTCCAATATTATCACTATCATAATTGTAATTTGACATGTAATCATTTTACAATGCACATTCCGTCTTATTCAGGACGTAAATTTTCAGGCCGAAGAAGTTGCTAGATATAATTTAATGCGACATTGAAAAGGCAATCGAACTGCATCCATTTAATCTACCCGATCAAACGCAGATGAGAATGTGTGACATTGTTTTTACGCTGAAGAGAGACGCGCGAAAAATGGTATCTTTCCATCTGCTCTCTCAAGAATCGCTACTTTTTTTTCGTAGAACCAGCTGCAATCGGCAACTACGGCGAAGCGTCATCAATCCGTGAAAGTTTCTCGCAATCGCATGTGACTTCAATGAAATCTCGCGCGGCGCAGCGAGGCATCTTTGAAAAGGTCGAGGCGACTTTTGCCCGCGCTCGAGAGGCGCTCGCGCTCGAAAATTTCCGATCCGGTAGAAAGTGAAATGACCGCGGGTCCTCCTTCCTAATCGGCTATTCGAATCCGTGCGATCCCAAAATAGTCCCTACGTCACACGGACGAGTGTCGTCCAAGTTCCTTTTCGCTCCGCCCTGCATTCCTTCTATTTCCCTTCTCGCCTTTCTCTCTTTCGCGCTTTGTTCATCTCGAGAGCGCTTCGAGCCGGCGCCAAAGGTCGTAGGAATTTCGCCGGTGTTAAGGGCCGCGTCCCGCGGCCGGTGCCAACGAACGACCTTCCACGATTAGACCGTCCTAACGGGTTGGCCCGTGAGGTAGACGCGCGACACGATGGAGAGGAAGAGGACCCCGCAATTTTCTTACGGAAAATGGGTTTGGCTGAAATTGTACTTATTGTCGAACTTTGACCCTTTTAGAACGAAAACGGCTCACAGGATTGACTTGCAACTTTCGATCAGCGTCACTTGAAGTTTCAGTCAATTTCGTTGAAGCCATTTTTCCGAGGGGTAAACCGCTGAGGGCATTGTGGTGTACAGAGTTCAGGCATTACTAGACAGGTTTTGGGTATTAATGGGTATTTTACTTGGCCTTGCTGGAGCATTGTAAAGAATCTAAAAAGGTAAAAAAGATAAAACAAGATACAATAAGATAATAAGATAAAGTAATGCCCTTAGTAGGCATTGGTGTACGTGATTTTGGTTAGCAGTTACCCTCGTATTTTCCATAAGAAAAGCGCGGAGTATTCCTTTGCGATTACGATTCCAGCTGGACGGAACGTATCGGAGCAGCGTGAAGATACCGAACGTATTCCTGACCGAGAGACTTTCCACCGTCTCTTCGCTCCGCGAGGAGTAATGTAGATGATATTTTGTATCGCAATCGCACGCCGCTGCCTTGTTACGACCGCGCGGAGGAGCAGTCCTCACGCACCTTGAAATGCCAAATACGCACGCAGACCTGGAATATAAATTGCAGGAATTACGCGCATTGTAAGGGAGGATCGTGAGATAAAAATCTTGTTTGCCAGGTAAAACGATTGCAAATAAATACCTTTGATAAATAAGGCTGACCGACTGAGTATCGCGGTTAAGATGAAATTAAGGTGATTCGACGTTAAAAAGCTTTGGAGAATAAATATAATTATTATATTATAAGAAACAAAATTACCCGGTGAGAAATGATTCCTCGAGAAACGATGTCCACATTGTCGATTCGACATCGATCGACGAGTCATTTCTCGCTGGGTATATATAATATACTATATATTATACTCAGTGTTGTGCATAGATGATTTTAAAATTAGCTAGATAAAGATAAGATAAAAATATCTAAATTTATCTTAGATAAGATAAAGATGATTTCGTTTTGAATATATCTAGATAAAAGATAAAATTATATGATGATTCATCTAGATAATTTTCAGATAATATTTTTAAGACTTCGTGTAAACACAGTAGAAAAAGTTATAAAAAAATTATAGAAAAATTGAAATTATAAAGGGGGATATAGAATATATTCAGGTTAAGTTATATGACACACATAAATGCATGGTCTACAACGCCATCCATATTTAAATAGTGTAACTGTTAAGTATTTTTATGTGGCCCTAAACCAAATTATCTGTACGTTATCTTAGATAATTTAGTAAAGATAACACTTTCTTTCATCTAAGATGCAGATATAGACTTATTTTTATTATCTATATAAAGATAAGATAACGCTAAAATTTTATCTAGATAATCATCTATATAATTTTATTTAGATAACAGCAAACACTGATTATACTTAAAATTAATCAATATTAAAATTCGAAATTTTATTCGATCACAGCTGGCTACATTTGTTAAGTTATCGGTCAATGCAGAAAATTTATTACGAAAAATATTACCTCAGCCAGGGTTTGAACCTGGACCTCCCTACACTCCAGGCGGGCGTCTCACCAATTCGACCACCGAGGCATTGAACTATCTACTGATGATGAACTAAGTTCAATCTGTTATCTCGTCCAACACACATCTCGGGACATTTTTACTCGTGTTTAACAGTTAACAATGCAACTTCAATTGACTTTGCACTCTCCAACCAAAGAGTGCAATCAAAATTCTCCTTCTTATTCTTTTGACTAATATTCTACTAACATAGCGATTTTGGCCAAATGAACGATACGAGATCAGTGATAATTACGAAACAGATTACTTGAAAAGGGTCCAAATCCAGGACCGAAACGTCGTTTTTATATTGAATAAAAGCATTGGCCAGTGTAGGTCGTTTTTTTAAAAATACTTATCATTGTTTTGAATTACTGGCGATATCATATCTACCCCAGAATATTGTATTACATGTATACGATAGTATAATATACAAAAATAGAATTATACTTTCAATTTGTACAGATCGAAGTAGAAAAATTTCCGAATGAACGAAGAGAAGAGACGAACGCTAAATCATACATTTGCAAAGTAGCCCACGAGATGAGCGAGTAATCCGTATCGGGCGTAGATTAATACTTGACCCACTTGGCGAGTGGCATTAGATCCTCCGCGCTTTCCGTTTTTCACGCGCACGCCTCGTCGTAATGCGCACCGGCGCGCCTTCTTCCTCTCTTTCGGTTTCACCGTTCCTCGTGCATATATATGATCGAGGAATTCAGAGCGGAGAGATAAGACCTGCGTCCACGATGCTAGAACTTGGTCCAAGTTCCAGTTCCGAGAAATGCGAAGCCAATCAACCTGCAGCTATTCCATAAAAGCTGCAACTTGATTGACAACACATTTCTCGAAACTGGAACTTGAACCAAGTTCTAGCGTCGTGGACGCAGTCCTGTACAGGTGCGTGGCACCATCTTCTTATTTTCTGGAGGAGACGATGTCTGATTCACGACGCCCATCCGATGATCCTCCACGGACGGTGGTCATCAGAGACGCCTCGCAACATCGCGAGCGAGAAATCGCGAAATTGGGAAAGTCCGACACGTCGTTCGGAGGCCAAGAATGTACGCATGAGCCTGCTCATGAGCCGAAGGAAGCGTCGATTGCCCAACGAAAATTCGCCTTACAAAGCCGAAGTCCTTTACATTTAGTAACGACGCGTACGATCGCTTATCTCATCGATGTGAGAGCTCGCGTAAAATCTGCCGGTGCGTCGTCTACGCAGTTTTTGAAAATTCGGTGCACCTGCAATACAAGCTACAATACCTAGATGTTTATTTTTCCGCAGAGATTATTGTAATACACTGAAAAAAAAGGCTTGGTTAATGTTACACGGAAAGACTGCTTGGGCCACACCTTAGCAAGTCGAATAAAATTGACCTTTTAAGTATTTGTTTGATTAAACTTGTAACACAAAGAAATTGCTTCGCGTAATGGCTGCTTAAAGTCATACGACTTATGAAAACGTAGATCTTACTGGCAAACAGCAAACGGTTTCGGATTACGTAAGGCTGATCGTTTCCACATTCATTTAATCGCAATAACATATGGCTGCGTCCCGTTATAAAAGCTGGATCTTTATCACATTAAAATCGTCGGGATGTAATTTGGAAAAGTCCCTCTGCGGAAAGAAAACTGTAGACTCGTGAAAGTGTAATAACATATGCGTGGCAAATTTCTCTACGTAACAGCAATAAACACGATTTTTCTGTGTGAGAATAGCGGTAGTATTCGAGGAGATTTCAGAGAAAGTTTAGAAATAAAGTCATAGAAATAAGCAAGAGATAAATCTAGGAGGAACACACATGTTGCATTTACTGCTCTATATTATGTTGTATTTATTACTCTCCCTCTCTCTTTCTCCGCTGCTATAAGGTGCAACTGCGCCAGGTGCTAGCTACGTGCTTGCTACCTGTCCATTCGTTACACTCTATTTCACCTCACGTCCTTTTGCTGCCGCTTCTCTTTCATTTAGGAAATTTCCAAATATCGTTAATTAAATATACGAGTAAACGTGTAACACACTTTTGTGCGTAAATTTTCAACGTTGTTTCTTTCTGCTACTGCATTTTTTGTAGCAATTACACACTTTTGCAATGTTATATCATTGATACTGACTTGCAGGCAATTTCTAGATACTCAAGGACTTTTCTGTCCTGCGGCCGACGCTTAAAAATTTTGTCGTAGGATAAATGTAATACTATAGCCTTAGAGAGACCAGATATTCCTCGTTGGATTCTTCCCCGATAGGAAAAATGCCTCGAATGATGTTTAATAATTGCATCGTCCAAAAGAAGGCAATTCCACAATGATTGCATTAAGGTAATTCGACAAAACGCTGCTGTTTTCCTGGCGTACTATTTAGAAATACATTGTTTCGCCACACAATTTTCTAAATATTCTTCCACCTGGGGTTTTTAGAGACATCTTGGAAAAATGACCCCTGATATTTTTGAGCGATGTTCAATCGTACATGCCATACGCCAGGCTGCCGCAATACCGTCAGCTGTGATATCGCCGACGAAATTGGCTGCTGGAAAAGATCGCTTTCATTCAACGCCATCAACGACGAGCCACGACGGCGGCCGAGTTAGAAAGTATCTACCCGTTTCGTGCGTGCAAGCGCGTTTCGTATCGACATACCGCGCGTGCCGTATTTGGTTCTCGTTTTCCGCTATCGCGGAACGGCGACCAGCGTGCCGTGCGTACGCAAAACGTCTCCTTCCCCGCAGCTTCTCGCGCAATTCCACGCGCTCGCGTGTGCCCCGCGGGCCGGTTAGATAACAGGCTTCACGGTACAATAAACGCGAGAATCGGGACCCTCGAAGTCGATTGCCACACGTGGCCGTCCGACGTTTCCATGCGTGCGACGCGAAATAGAGCGAGTTCTCCCTATCTCGACCAGCATGCGAGTTGAAGTGCCGCGACCTCGCCGAAATGTCAGTGGCGAAGTTTAAGCGGACCTGGGTTTGCTTGGTGTCGGCCGCGGGCCGCCTGGTGATTTCATAATTGTGCAACGCGCGCAACTCCTCCCGATCTCCTCCCTCGAACGAGTTTTTCACTTTGCCAGTTATTAATCGGAGTGACTGGAGTAACGAAAGTGTCGAACATTGATAGGAATCAAATATTCGCTATGCGTGAGACGTACGAGACATTTGAATATGCTATTCGCGATGTTCGCCGGTCCCTTCGATTTCACGAGGATGTTTTCGGTACTTTGACGAGCGAAAATTTACAGATTGCCAGAAAGCGATGTTTTAGGTCCGGTTTCACCAAACGTCGCTTAACTTCAATCTTGGTTTAATTCGTGTTTGTCTCTTTCTAAAGTAACACCCTAGCGGAAAAAATTTCTACAAATAACTACAAGAAAATTGACTTGAAATAGAAATTTGTAGAAATTTTTCTATCTTCGTTGAAACATTTTTTTTTTTTTTTGCGCGTTGCACAATGTTCTCAAATCAAGAAATTATCGCAAGTAGTGTTTCATGAAAATGTAAAATTTTGTAAAAATTAGTACAAAACTTTACTTTTAAAATTTTGAGAAACAACAAAATCTTAAAGAATTAACACATCTGCTTACTTGTAGAGTATTACGATATTACGAAAATTAACAAATTTTATTACGAAATATTACGAAAATTAACAAAAGTGTTTCAATTCTAGCATTTTCATGTTGATTTTTGTAACACTTTTTAAATTTACGTAGAATTTCTTAGATTCTGGCAGTTATACTTAATTTTTTTGTAGAATTTTGTAGAATTATTTCCGGCAGGGCAGTTGGAAAGAGACAACGAGAACGAAGTAAACTAACATAAGCTGAAAGTTAAGCGACGTTGGTGAAACCAGACCTTAGGCATCAAAATGCAATGATTTACTTTCTCGCGGAGATGTGAGAATATTATTCGAATACGAAACGATTCGAATTTGAATTTGAATTTCTACGATTCGAATCTGAACCATTCGAAAATATACGGTTCGAATACGATTCATATATATTGTCAATCTTATCATGTTTCTCGTTAAATACAGTACGCCATTAATAAGTGCATTCAGTACCATAACCGATCATTGAGCGGCTAAGTAGCAATAAAACGTGATTGGTTCTTACCTTTAGATCCAATCAGTTACAGACTTTTCACCTAATTGTTTCAATTACCGCGATATTAAATAAAGTATATTTTATTAGTTTTATACATTAAATATTTAAATATATATGTCTTTTGTTAAAACAAATTTATATCATATAATTGGTGCTACTTTTCTACGTTAAACATATTCGCTACTAATAATTATACAATTAGTTAAAAATTATAATTCCACGATTCAATTCGATTCGCTTCGATTTGAATAAATATTTTGTCGTTTCTCTTTGATTCGATAGAGGAAAGGAAATGAAATTCGATTCAATTCGACATAAAAAATTCTTGATTCGCACGTCTCTACTTTCTCGTAGATACGCAGGGATCATTAAAGCGTAGAGGATCCGCGAAAGTCAGAAGTGAACATACTTTTTCATCGATACGTGTGTAGATACTTGGGAGAGAAAAAGAAATTGAGTAACTTATTTAAACAAATTGATTTAGAAATATATAAAAAGAAACGTTTTAATAATATGACACGGCGATTATTGAACGCATATCAGTGAGACTTGTCGTTACTTGTAGGTCGATAAAATAAAATAAAAATATACGAAGTCCTGGAAATATCGATAACTGATAAAGTCTACCTTCGACTCAAAGCAAGTTTGTAGAAAGTGGCTCTATCACTTTGCTTTTCATGTTGTAGATGAGCCAGAAGCTTTGACATAAAAAAACAAACGAGAGAGAAGCAAAGAGAAATTATAGACTCGAAATGATGTCTTCTCGACATACTTTTCATAAGTTTAATCGCCAGCGGAGTGACTGAACTTTTTCTGGCGAAGAATCGATATATTTTCCAATCTATTAAACCAAAAAATTAATCTACACGAGTACCCATAACAAAGTTCAATTTATATTACATTTTGACGCGCGTGCTACAGACGCTTCGTCACATTTCAACGCTTTCTTCATTAACATATACCGAGTGCGTAAACAGGCTTTGTGTTGCTCGATTATAACGCAATTGTACAATAATAAACTAAAATACAAGACGCGGCCGTCGCTCAGGTAATACGCGCGATTGCGATCTAGGAATTCATGCAGGCATGTCTGTCGGCAGGCGCTCGAATTGAACGAAGGACGATCGAAAGGAGAGCGGCCGTAAGCTCCATTGCCTAAGCCTTCGGTTACACGATCGATCGAGCGGGGCACTTCCTCGCCGTGTCCCGGTCGTGAAAGTAGTCGCTCTCGCACAGGGAAGTGCACGCCAAACTGACCATGTAAGAGTTTTCGAATTACGCCAGCACATGCGATCGGGGGCCCGATACGACTGCGCTTGATATTCGACGTCCGGCGAGAAACGCTCGTTGAATTGGCCCCGAAAAGGGGAAGGATCCGCTTGATTGAACGCGTTCTCGGCCGCTCTCCTCGAGATATTTCCTCCGATTGCGATTAGAACTCTGGTGCCGCGGACCTCCCGCGCGCGCGCACTAAAAATCAGACCCCGTGCGCTTACGACGCGTGGAATTGCGCGAGACATTTGGAGAAGTTACCGAGTTACATAAGTCACGCATAACAATCTCGTAACGCTCTCATTGTCTCTGTTCATTGTCTCGTCAGCGCGGAAAATTAAACTCCTTTCAAAATGTCTCGTTTGCGCGTTCGCGATATAGTAATAATAATG